GCAGTTATCTGCAGAGAAAATATAAAGCCTGAGAAGAGAAGCAAGGTACGAGGTAAGCACAAATTTCCATTGGAGCACGTATATTATTATATATACATCCTTGTAAAATTCTGACAATAACAGAAGCTTAAATTAAAAATTCATAGAATTAAGACAATAAGCCAGAGTTGAGAGTCATTTGAGACCCGTATCATTGGAACTGAGTAGAAGAAACCAATTAAATATTCTATTATTTTTTTCACGTTGAGAAATACTACTTTTCTTTCCATTTGTATGTGTGAATTTTGTTTTGACTAGCTTTCTCAGAAACAAATTAAATATTCTTTAAAAAAAAAAAATTAAATATTCTTCTAACGTATATTTTGTCCATTGATTTTTTGATAAGGACAAATTATATTTTGTTTTTATCAAGAACTAAAGAAACGAAATATATGAATTATCCTAAACGATACTCTTTCTACAACTCATAAAGTTTTTTTTTGGATATATGAAAACCGTTAGACGATTATAATTTGTTGTTGAAATTGTTGATCGGAGGTAAACTGGAGTGAATACCTAATTGCCGACAAAAGAAAAATAATAACCTAATAGATGGTGTTTATATTTACGGAGTGGACTACAACTTGAAAAACTAATGAAGTTAAAAAAGAAGTTTTTATTCCTTTCTTTATTGGTTATCCCGCGTATTCTAGATTCTAAGGTCGATAAACTAGCGAATTGTGTACACGTAATTAAAGCTGATGTTTCTTTTGTAAACTCATCACCGTCGGTTTAGGTAACTAAGCCGTGGTAAGCATGTTTATCATGTTATTGACCAAAATAGATTATTCAAAGTTAGAGGTTAGATTATCCAGACTTTCTTTTATTTATCTCAAATAACAAATTTAAGAAACAAAAATTCTGGTCAGAGATGGCATATTAGGTGAGAAGAAAAGATTCACCTGTTAAAAAACTGATTCAAATATTTACAACTTCATTACTTCAAAAACAAACTATCGTTAAACCTAGAAATTTCCTGTAATAGTTAAATAACAGATGGTACAAAAAAAAAGAAATAGTTTGTGATGTGAAACAATATGAACTTTACGTTTGAACAAAATTAATTTGTGGACAGCTGGAAGCAGTTTGAACTGGCATAGTATGGTAGGAAAGTTATTGACAAATTTTGTTTTTTTGTTTTTTTTAAATGGAATCTAATTTCACTTAATCTTTATTATAAAAAGGTTAATGCGTCAAATTTTGTAATTAATATGATCGAAACATGTGTCAAATCGGTTAACAAGATTTTGGCACGTGTATACCAATGTAAAGAGTTTTTTCCATTATATTTAATCATATGTCAAAAAATTTATCTAAGAGTTTTTTTTTCCAATTATATTAATCATATGTCAAAAGATTTATCTATGTATCTTTATATAATAAGATAGTAAAAAATAAATCTAATTTAACTAGGATTAGAAAACTCTAATTATTTGAAAATATGTGATTTTAATTAAAAATCAATAATATAAAAAATAAAATATGACATCAAAATAGATAAATATTTAATAGACTTCTCTACAAGTAATTTTGTATTGACGTTTTCAATTTTATTTTATCACTTTATTGGGGTTACTTAATTTTATCTTACGTTTTTCACATGTTTTATTTGTTTATGCGTGTTATAAAATATTTAAAGAGTAAAATAATTCAAATAAAAATATGAGAATAAATTTATCATAATTGTGACACGTGTCAAGTCGGTCGACTAGATTTTGATAGTGTATACAAGTGTAGAAACAAATCTTTTCAATTAGATTTAGCTACATATCAAAATATTTATCTATTTATCTTTATTTGTAAAATAGTAAAAAATAAATCTAATTTAAATAGGATTAGAAAAATCTAAGGGACAATTGCAAAAATGCTACTTTTGGTGTGTATATTTGCAAGAATGCTACTTAGGGTGTCCATTTGCAAAAATGCCACTAATTATGGATTTA